TCTACTTACTTTCTATTCCTTTGGAGTCTCTGCTATTCTAGACTTGTCTGTTTAAATATCTATTTTTTTTTGCAGGCACTTTTCGTGCCACAAAACCCTGCAAAGGCCAAGGATTCACCATCCAAAAGCAGAAATTGCCATAACCTCCCCCATCCACCTCCACCATATAAAAGGAGCCGCCGCATCCAAAAGGCTGAGGCGAAAGAAGCCACCGCTGCGCTCTCCGCCATGCTGGGCCTGGTGAAGCCATGCCAGGCCACCCAAGAGAGGGACCGTGGGCTGGCGGACGCTGCTTTTTGGGAAAGCTGACGATGTAAAGTTGCTTGTCTTGTATTGTTTTTGTTTTTTTTAATCTCTCTCTCTCTTTTTTGATCCGAGTCTCTGTGTGTGTGACTTGGGAAGATGGTCTAAGTGATAACAAGACACACTTCGTTCAATGCATTCGAAGCGCGTCTTGAGACCCATGTACTTGCGACAAAGATCTTGCCGTAGCCACTGTGCATGCGTTGGAATCTCTGACGTAGCCAACCCCAATGGAATTGCACAACAGTCCGCATCTCATCAGACAGTGACAAGTTACTGGTCGGCTGAAGTGTTTCAGCAGGTTTGTGTTTCTTCTTGCTAGGGTGTGGAGGCAAGTAGCTCAGCCAGGAAAAAGACCTCAATCAAGGCAAGTTTTGTATAATTAGTATAGATGTATAGACTCTTGATTAATTTGAATAGGTTGACAATCCAAAGAGTTTTTTTGTAACAATCACGAGTGTACATGATAGAACCTTCCGAATGGTGGACATCGGAGCCCGAGATCACTCAACCGGGTCACCAAAGTCTCCAAGCCATTTTGAGGTCACTGTCCAAACCATTTCAGACAAAGGGCTCAATGTTGTGGATGTTTTGTTGCTTCACCTCCCTAGTTCCAGGAGCGCACTGACACTGCTGATTCTCCGGAGGCCCAAACCTTGCTCTCATCAGCGTCGTGGTTTCAGGTTGTTTCTAAGCTGAACCTTTCAAGTGGGTAGAAGTAAAAGAGAATATGCCGTTCTTCCATCCTCCCTTTCCTGCATGTGCATTCTGGACTTCGTTTCCAAGAGCTTCGGCCAGATGCTCGTTGATGCATTATCATGTCGTTTTATTCGCCCAATTGTCACCAGCCACCACCAGCCCGCGGCTTCGTCTTCGAACGCAAGTCGGATTGTATCACGGACAGACGTGATGACGAAGGCCTCATTCAGGAATCATCCAGGAAGAGACAGATAGCATTACATCGCGAGCAACCAGAAACGGAGAGAGTAGAGATTCCTGCTCTTAATACGTAATCCCCCAAAAAACATCTTCTTGAAGTTAGGCTGTCCTGTGAAGAAGTGATATTGACAGTTGCTGCCAGGCTTCCCGAAATGGTTCGCTCAATGAGTCTTGGTCATAATACGAGACGCAGTAAGTGTATGCAAGTGTTGCCAAGCACTTGTGTTGTGCAAACTGCATCCGAAAAAGCACCTCATATGACATGTGTTCCAAGAGCAGTGATGGTCTAGCGTTGCGATCCACATGACACTTGAGTGCTCCTTTTCTTTTTGGACACATCATGAAGTATTTTGTCATAAGTTATCATATTTTATCAGATTATATCCTACTTCTTTTGCTGCGAGTTGCGCTAGCTTTTTTGCAGCATAATTTTGAGCAGCGAATGACGATTCAAGGAGGTAAAAGAGAAGGATGTGATCCAGGAAGGAAATTTGCAGGAAAGAGAGGAGCCGCAGGAGCCTAAGAAGGGTGGTGATGCAGAGGACCGCGAGGACCACGAGCCGAAAGAGGCGAAGCAGCAAGCTCAGGCTTCTGCGGCTTCTGCCGCTTCTGAGAAGATGCGACGTGAGGAAGATTTGAGAGGCAGTGAACAGGATTCGAAAGAGTCCAGACAAGAAGAAGGCAAGGAATTAAGAGAACATGAAGGCGAGTTCAATGGTGATGATGTGGAAAGCTGTGAGAAGGCGGGCAGAAGCAGCTTCCAACCCCGAAAGCAGGGTGTCTTTGAGGCTCCCTTCTGTGCGCATGTACTTCATTTGTATCAATTCATTCTTGACAATGCAGTTGAAACAATTCCCTGAGATGAGCGACATACCTTGTGCTACGTCGGTGCTACATCCCACCTAATCACAAAAAGTAGCCTGGGCAGCCTTCCGAACTTGCCAATTGTTGAAGATCGAGATACAAGTATCGTGCCATTATTCCTGAGGGGCTTTGCCCATCCTACTGAGCCCTCATTTCAACGTATGCTTTAGTTATTTTTTGTCGGGAACTGGTGTGGGGATCATGCTAGAAATGCTCCGCAAATTGCATATGAGGCTGGTCAATATAAGTCCCTGATTTGTATTGCTGGCTTTCCCACACAACCATGAAGAAGTTGCACCAGAGGCCTTAATGCTTCGTGCCTTTATCTTCACATTTGTGGGGGACCATGATGGACCAGGCTTTTCGCGATGCTTTTGGGGGACCCGCACTGGTTTCGCCCCCGCTCACGTCCGACGTCGATGTCTCAGGTGACGGCCGCACCGCGCTTCCGACGCCGCAGGTTGCACCGGGACCGGCCGGAGGCGGACGGGGAAGCAAGGGACGGGAGGAAGGCTGGACGTCAATTTTTTGAAAAAGTTCATAACATCAACTTGGGATCCATAAAACCATAATATAAAACCCTATTCAAGAGGAATGGTCGTGGGGTGCACCGAGCTCCCAGGCTTTAGCTGCGCAACATGCACCAGTTGGGTCCCCATCCCAAACTGACCCAGCACGTCAGCTTTCTTTTGATCATCCTTCACAGCCTTCACACAAGAGATATTTTGGCCATACCGGCTGTGATTCACATTGCATCTCCTTATTTGCAGGCATTTGCTCACACACTGAGTTTGCCATTTGGTATTTGGACAGGCAACGAGGAGAATCGTTCAACAAATATCATCTTTCAGCAGTGCCAATTGGATAGAATGATACTGTGTGTGTTGTGCGCCGTTCTCTTTCGAAGGCGGAAAGTGATGGCAAGCTGGTTTGGCGACAGCGAGAGCAACGAGGGGGGGAGCAGCAACAGGTTTGGCGCCCCGTCAAGACCATGGGCAAGGCTGGTCCAAGGCAAAGCCAAGATCAAGAATTGGTGCAAGTGCCAAAAGAACGCCGGACAACGCGTGGGAAAATGAACCGACGGATGCAGCGGTAGACAGCCCGGTGGAACCGGATTGCTTTGAAGGGAGGTGGATTGCTTTGAAGGCAGACAAAGTTATCCAGATTCTGCCGTGGCCCACCTGCCCAATGGACTTATGAAGGCATCGAGCCGGCGAAAAAGATGAGTCTAGTTTGTAACACCCTTCATTATCCTTCGTCATTCAGGTTTTCCTCTAGATGTAGCCCATGCTATCTTGGTGACCTGTTTTCTTTGGCTGCGGTGCTTGGCTTCTTGGCTTCTAGCTGGAGAGCCATCTGGCACAGCGCGATAAGCTGCTGTGTTAGCGGTCTGGCAACTTCTGACTGTGAAGTCATTGGATAACAATCTAAATATAATCAATATTATTCTATATTGTAATTGTGAAGTCTTTCTAACAATCTATATGGTAAAGACTTTCTAACAATGTGTCTTTCATGTAGATATTGAAACTATGAAGTCTGGATATCACATGCAGACACAATGGCAGACATAGAATATTTCATCATATTTGGTCTATTTGGGGATGGGTCACCACCAAGCAGACAAAGCACGTGGTAGTTTGATGTCTTCTGTCAATTCATCGTTGCAGTTCGCATTGTTCGTGGGCCCGCGGTTTGACCCATAGCGATTTGATATTGCAGTACAACACCGCTGATTGACCCCAGAGTACCTTGTTGGCGTAGTGCACTTTTGCCCAATCCCCACTCTCGAGATTTTTGATCTCCGAACTCTCAAAACATGTGATGTCCAGACTTGGCAATTCTGGAGCATGTCTCGTGTAGGAGGTTCTTTTCCCTTTGCAAGTGCCAGGAGGTTCCAGGCCGTTGTCATACCAAAAAAGCGGGCTGACCGCCTACCTGTTGGGTGAGGTGGACGCCTTAGAAGCCAATGCAAATGCCCACGACCTGGCGTAAAGAGTGCGACTGGTGGTCGTGACAATTGTGCTAGATGTGTTTGGACAGTGACACATCATGCCTCGGAGTCATTCGGATTCCATTGTTTGCACGAGATGTGCCCATCACTGACTCCCTGTGCCGACGAGCACGTTTCTTTTCCTGCGAAAGCACGCCCATGGAGTAGTGACACGTGACTTGACATCGCGGAACATGAGCATTTCCCGTAGGGATTGGCAGGGAGTTGGACTGCGGAGTTTCGCAGGTGCCAAATCGGACAGAGAACGGCGCAGTGCGACTGCGCCGCAGTCTTTGTGCGTGAGAAAAAAGAGCCAAACACCAGCCTCAGCTCGCCAGGTGACAAAGGTCATATCAGGTCGCTACTGTGAAGCCCAATTTCCTTCACGGATCGTCAACTTGGAACGATACAGGGAATATTAGCATGGCCTTTGAGCAAGGATGACATGCACAAATTGACAAGTGGACTATGATTGACCAACAGATTCGACTTGTTTGTTGTCGCATGGCTGTGCTGCTAGCCATCTCAGATGTCATGATCCTGGATTGGTATCATGAATGCAAGCAGTTGATTGTGATACATACGGTAAACAGGATGCCACAAGACCTTTTCGCATTTAGTGGTCTTTGACCCTATCCACCTGGCCACCCTAGCGATAGGTGCTATTGCTTCAAGAAACCATATCCCGTTGTCCAGTGGAGAGCTCACCACTAGCATCACCCCATCCAACCTTTGCACGCAAATTTCGTTTGCAGCGGCAGCATGCCCCATCAATGCAGGAACACTTCGATATTGGGCTAAGCTGAATTTGAGAGCCTAAGACAGCTAATACATGGGCACGACATTTCACAAATCATCGCTTGATTCGAGAGCTCACTTGGCAGAGCTCAGTTAGCAGACCTAAAGATTGACTCGACACGATTTTTTTCTAAGCACTGATGCACCATGCTACGATGGATACCATTAGCTGTGCACTCAGCTCAACTAGCTTGCAGAGCCTTCTACAGACTTGAAACAAGCTATGCATAGCTTCCGGACTTGGATTCACTCTTCGTGAAACAACCTGCACAGGAAATCCAGGAAGTCTACGGATGCCTTGTTTGTTGTCCAGATCTGAAGCAGATAGCCTCGGAGCTTTATTCAGAGTGATGCATCGAGGCCCGCCGTCATTGCAGAGTTCACGGCAGGCATGGATTCGAGTCATTTCACCAACAGAACTGTATTTCTGTTCCAAATAACCACCCTTCTCAGTCTTTTCAGGCCTTGTTTACTTCACCAGTAGGACTTCTGCAAGGGACTCCAACCGCACCATGCTGAATTTATCTGAATGCCACTGCATCAATTGAAGTTCTGAAGAGACACCGATGGACTTTCGGACTTGACATAACCCATCTGCAGGCACTGCAGGCTGCAGGTCCACCGACCAACTCTTGCAGGCCATCTCGAAGCGCACTCAAACATCTCAAACCGACTGCAAGTTTGCGGCTCTTTTCTGATCGCCATCGAGGAACCCCTTTGGACAGTTCTTATCCCAACCGCGCCTGTTGGGTGGCCGACGTGATGGCCTTTGGACTGGCTCCCGTCGTGGGGATTGATGTGCTTTCAGCTGCTCAGAAGCTGACTGAAGGGACAGATTCTTTTACGTCAACGTGTGCTCAGTGGGGATGACGGAATGAATTGGGGGCTCATCTCCTACGAGTTTCCCATAGTTTCCCTGCAACTAAGAAAAACAAACCCGTCTGCTTGCCATGTTTCACCATGTTTTATCGTGAAGCTCGGAAGGCCTTCCGTCCCTCTTGGCAAGGCCTTCCTCTTGGCGTGCGCGCTGCGAGGACAAGTCGTTCCAGGCCAGGCAGAGATCAAGGCTGTTGCTCCGCGCGGTTTGGTGGAACATGTGGAAGGACCGACATGGGCTGCCCGTGAGCCATGCAGTCGCCCTCAAAGCATTGAGACTCAGTAGGAACCGTCCAGCCTTGTCCCAATGGAATGCTCGAGACTCTTCATGTGCGTCTTGGCCGTGCTTGGCGCGGGTGGTCTGAATGGCTGTGAAGGGGGGCTGTGACCATTCCGCACATTGGCTGCAAGGTAACAGCATGGCCATATTGTGTGATACTTGAAGCGCACGCGCGCAGACATTGTTGTATCGGAGCAGATGTGGCATTGTAGACTTGACCTTCTCATTTGAGCTCACCCCACAGCAACCAGCATAAGAGAATAGTTTAACTGAGTTTGCACCTTTGCCTCACTTATTCACACCAACTCATGTAGTACATGTTCACTCATGTAATGGTACAATCGTCTTTGTATTCAACGAGGCCGCAATTTGCACAATCGGTAGTGTGACTCAATTTATAATCGCCCTGCACACTGCCGACCAAGCTTGTCCCAATATGACGCCTCTGCAGTGCTATAAAGAACTTGGTCGTGTGGGGCACAGCCCTTAAGACTGGCCAGGTGCTGGGCAGCAGCAGAGGTCACGATACCGTGGGTTGTTTACTTTTGAAACCTAGCTACCCCAATCCGAATCCCGTCGCGTGGGACAGAAGCTCTGACAGCACCCAAGTATATCTCACATGAGGCCTGCGAATCTCATCTTGGCTCGGCTATGCTCAGCTTAATCTATAGCTCTACTTACCTCAGCTAACATAGTTAAGTTCCCCCAACAAAACCTAGGAACCAAATGAATAGTGCGTGAGCTATCCTCCGTCCATGCTAGTAGCTACTAAAGCCACTAGCTACCTCTTCTACTAGCTACCGACTCCCTAGCTAACCTACCTCCCTCTAACGGCCTACCCCCCAGGGCTAAAATAGAAACTATAGCTCTACTGACCTCAGCTCATTTCATTCATCGTTTTTTCATTGATGCGACCTGCGCCACTCCATGGCCACTTTTTCTTCATCCCTTGGCCTCAACTACAGTTCATATTGAGCAAACTCGAACAATAGCATTACTATTCAGGTCATGTTGAGTTCACTGATGTGCCGAACTTGTAATCTCCAACTGTGAACTTGGTGATCTCCAGACCAAGGCAGCAACTGTTTGCGCCGTGCCGGAGCAGTATGAGTGCACTGAACTGGCCAAGTTTGGAGGCAAATTGTGATATGAACCTGCGCCCACCCCAAAAACAGGAGTGAAAGGACTGGGCATGGGGCTGAATCGACGAAACCCCAGCTACCATGATACTCGTAGGTAGAGAGTATCCTGCTAATGTGAAGGCTCTTACTCTTCACGGCCACATCAGGTTTTGTTGCACATCCATATTCAGAAAAGATGGAAGGGTGCAACAGATTCCTCGGAGAGTTTTTGCATCCATAAGTTGGTTGAACAATAACCAAAGGATCATGTGGATATTCCTGAGAAACTTGATTCCACCAAGCAAGTCTGTAGACTTGTATCCAAGAACACCCCTCAGTTCTTGCAATAGTCCTTGCTACCTTCCTTTTCCCTCCCGAGAGATTTGGACACAGCCATTGGAATAGGGAGACCTTTTTTGACTCAAAGAGTTTTGGTGCAACTATGTTTTTTTTTGCTTGGGCTGTAGTGGACCCACGTTGCAACTCCCTCTTGTTTGAAAGGTTAGCAACTAGCCCGGTCTCTTGAAGAGGCTGCATCAAGGATGCCAATTGCTGCGACTCTTCAGATCAGTCATCAGAGATCTCTGGCATGACCAGCTGGAGGAGTAGTGGGCGCGGGTGGGACCTGGCATGTCTTTTGACAGTAATTCCTATCGAGTTTCTACCAAGGAAGAGGGCTTTGCAACGTCGGATTCTAAGCAATCAGATTTGGGGATCTCTCTCTCTCTCTCTCGTTCTTCCGTCCCAAGCTATCTCTTCCTTTCCATTTCTGGCTTTTAAGCAGCCCTGGGTGTTCAGTTTCTTGGGTCGGAATCTGTTTCCCGTACGTACCGTAAGCCCATTTGTTCTGACAGATGTAGCAAGTTCTGGGGGAGGGGCTCTCGGTGGGTTTGTTTCTTCACCACCCACGAGTTTCGGCTGCCGGCGGCGTCAGTTTTGTGATGCTAGTTGCATGCCACTGGCTTCGGTTGCACGACTTGATTGCAATTAGTGCGACTAATGTCTTGATTAATAAAACTCACCATATGAAAATATGTTCAATGGTTTTTTACAGGTCAGTTCTCACACACTCTACTTACACCCGTTGTGAATATCACGACAAGGGGTAACGTAGAAGCGCCACAGACTCGCAAGTCCGCGCATCCAAATAGGGGGTTTGATTAATCAAGCGTCTACATTGCACATAATTGGGAACCGCCCAAGGGATTTTGTAAGGAATGGGAACTTCATGGAAACTTGCAAAGCTGGCGATCGCTGATGAACCTCTTGATGCAGTGTTCCTCAATCCGAGGGGGTTGGTCCCTAATTATCCTGTTCCCCATTCCAATGCTGCACTGGGTGATGTTTCTCTTTGACTCCAATCGCAGGAAACATTTGAACCAGCTCTATGATGCGAGTGAGGCTGCCGGACATCAATGTGAACCAAGCCCATGTATCTCCGACTGAAGGACGACTGAAGGAGTGGCCGATCGGATGTGGTGAGACCAAGCATTGCTATGAGCGACCCGCATTGCTATGAGCGACGCAAAGAGGATGTCCAAGGATGTGTATTTCGATGATTGCAAGTTGATCGATGTCCATGTTGGGTTGGCTGCGCCTGGTCTAGTTCTAGTTCAGGCATGTTCTGGCAACATCTGGCAACCATTTTGCAGACTCGTCCTTGTGCCAAGCCACCCAGTACGATGCAGCAGAAATAGAAGCTCAGCAACTCAGGGCTTACTGGTTTACTGGGCTGCTTCCATCATTGAAAGCGAAGCTTCTCTCTTACAATCTGAGTGTTCTGAATCGCAGGGCGTTAAGCAGAACCCTTCATACGACGCCGATGCCATTCTTTCCTGCTGCATACGATGACCTGATTCTCCGCAGGGCCAACATCGCAAAGCCGTTTGTTTGCCCGAAGACATTGTTCCAGTTGCAACCTGCAATGTAGGGCCCCAATGTCACACATCGTGTCATGGGTGCTCAAATCCTCGCGAGTGAAACAGAGTGAAAATATGTGAAAATGACTTCCAGCAAGGCTTCCTTTCAAGAACCGACATAGGCTTCCTTTCAAGTCTAGTGCCTGCCGTTCGGCACTTTCCAGGGAAGCTGACACTCGCAGCGGCTTGGGTCGCCTGGCTCCTCCACGCATGGATGGCCTTGGCAGAGAACCCACCATGGAGGCGGTGCAGTGAATCGTTTGCCGCTTTTGTGGTTGCTTCACGACGCCTTTCACAGGAAGCAGATGAGCAGGAGCCCCAAGATCAAGACATTTTCGATGAAGAGGCTGGTGCAAGAAAGCTGCACAGGCAACCAATTGTAAGCATTCTGGATGCGAAACCGCCACAAGCAACCAAGAGTTTTTGTTGGTCGAATCTCATGCATTCTGTTTGTTTTCAGGCGGCACTGCAATTGCGACCTGCAGCACCAATCTTCCACAAGCACGCGGAGGAGCCAATGCCACTAGATGCTATGGAGATAGAGGAGGACCCTGAGCTCAACTTTGCCTTGGTTGGGTTCACAGAGCTCAAGACGGTTTCTTTTGAAAATACACATTGAAGGGTAAGAATTGAACACTTCCATCCACCCCCAAGCAAGATCGCTGAGAACAAAATGAGAACAACCCAGAATGAGACTGTTACGAAACTCCCCCTGTCATTTCTTCAGGTACCGAATGAACCTTGGATGATGGGCTGTGGGTTTGCGTATAGGATGATAGGTCCGTGCACAGATCACGACCTTTCAATAGCAAATCCAAGAACGTCCAAGAAATTACCGCGAACCGAGGGACCCAGGACGATTCGGGAAGACCATTCAGCATTCACCGGTGTCAGTATCTCCACTCTTGCCATGTACTCTTCGCGTCGCGTCGCGTGGATTTCGTGTCAGGATGCAGACCCGCCCAGCATCGACATGCGAGGCCTCAAGCGCTTGCGGCCGACAGAGGAACGCTTGGCACGTGTACCCCTGGGGTGGCTGGATCGCCTTGCAGAGGTGGCCAAAGCTGAGCAGTCGGGAGAGAGCCGAGATGCCGTGCCTCAGACACGGGAGAAGGAGGGGTTACCAGTGGGTGAACACAAAATTGCACTCAACTCACATCGTGCTGCCTACACGAAGTTTGTGTTTCCCTATGTGTTGCTCGCTCGTAAGGGGATAGGCTGACGCGCTGGGGTTACCATTGAGCAGCTGGCATCCTGCCCCCGTGTTTCCCTTGATACTCAAAGGGTGGGAGGTTCAGCTGATGCGTCTGGGTCGGGGCGGCTGCTTCCGCTTTTGCCTCGACTGCGTATGCACACAAAAGCTCTACACGTGGGGTGATCCGGTCACCTGTCCGTTCAGTTTTGGTGGACCTTTGTAAGTGCCTTTGTGTTTAGTTAGATCAACACGTGACAAGACCAAATTGCTTTCTCACAAGTGAGAAAGAAAAAGACGTGAATGATCCTCAATGATGAACAGTGGGAAGTGGGAAGGAACAAGTGAAGTGATACTTCATGGCTGTTGCTCGCTCTCAGGACAAGGATGAGAAACAGGGCAGACAAAGCAGGCGGAAGGGGCAGTTCGAGTTTAATGATGAGGAACCAATCCGAGCAACGTGCCTTTAGACAGCTTGAGCAGTGTGAGCAGACCGTTGAGTAGTCCAAAAGATGCCTGTTTTGACATGATGCTCCCAACATGTTCACACCGTCTTGGGTTCTGATGGATGAGCGTCCGACCAAGAAACAACTCGCTACTTCTCGCAGCATGCGCAGCCTGAAGGGTTGTTCTTGTTCTTTTTCCTAAGGTACGAGTACTGGATGTTGATGCCATATCCTTGGAAGAGCTTCATCGCGCCTTCATGTACACGCTGGTGCGTCGTCGCCCTGCCGAGGCCAGATCATTGCCAATGTCATGCAGTATGGTGTTTGATCACTGTCGCACCCATTTCATGATTATGAAACTTGAACATATGATGAACATGCCAGATGCTACTAGGAGCAAAGGCCATCGCTACTAGGAGCAAGGACGCTACTAGGGGCTCCTGGCCATACTACCAGGAGCGACGCTACTAGGAGCTTTCCCAGTGTGGTCAACCTTTGGTCCGTCATCTCGAGCACCAGCTCGCCGCTCGACATGGCTCCCACAGCCCCAAAAACATGGCACAGCATTGGTGTCCCAATGCAAGCCAGGTCTGTGTGAGGATTGCCTCGAGACTGGCGCAGTTTCGAGACAAACCAGGGCAAACTGCGTACCAGACACTAGTCTTGAGTCTTGAGATGTCTTAAGTCTTAAAGTCTATTTAAGTCTTACATTCAAAAAGTGTGCGCAACATCTCAACATGTTAAGACCTTTTGTGAAACAGACATGCAGCGGACCTTTCATTTTGGCCTAAGGAACTTGTTGCGCGATACCACAAAATTATTTGGCTCCACTCACGGGCCTGAGCTGACAGCCCTTTTCACGCGCTGTGTCTCGTTTTGTCAAGACTGCGCTCTGAGGACAGCCCTTTTCACGCGCTGTGTCTCGTTTTGTCAAGACTGCGCTCTGAGAAGATTAGAAGAATGATATGCGCTGTTTACTGTTGCAATATACGCAAAAAACAGCAGAGGCTGATCTTAACATGTTTGTCTAATCGTTTCTAACGAAGATGATGGGGACAGTACTTAAGCCTTCGTTCAATTTTGATGCATTGCTGGCTGGTCTAGTAAACGTGATGCTTGCATGTGAAAAAGATGCCAGCACATCTCCCCACAGCATATTCTTCAAGCGTGAGCATATCTCTTCATCCTTTATACCTGTAGGTTCATGGTGAAAAAAGATGGGCTTGCACGTGGGTGCATGACTGAGGCCACGCCACCATCTCGGTGCCTTTCATGCTGGACTACACGCGTCAGTATGGGAATTTCTCCAGAGCTTTTCTGGCTGCACAGGTGGAGACAAGCCTTAGACCAGGCAAGGAGTGTGGACCCATGTTGACTAACACTGACCTGTGTGCCGCTTTTTTCTTTTTTTGGCTTTTTTCATTTTTCCCTCGGAGCGACACTTTGTGTTGTGTGACTTTTTCAGGTTCACAGTAATACCGTAGAACCCACAAAGCACCTTTAGCAGCTGTTGGAGTCTACGTTGAATAGCTTTAAACATATTACGTGCAATGGTCTTAACACGACCTGCTATATATAGTAGATTATAGTAGGTTCAAGGGGATGGCCATTCACTTTCATCTCCTAGACATCGTTCAAAAAAACCGGGCCATCGAGTTCGACGGACCACGCGCCTTCAGTTCGACGGATCATCGGATCAGATGCGGCGGTGAAGGTTTCTTTGACTTCATGCGCTATGAAGGCCAAGGAGGCGTGCGGCCGCTGCCTTTGGTAATCTCGAAACCCTGGTGTCTGGGATGTGCAAGTTTGTGATCCTTTTTTGTCCCGGATATATACCTGGATTTTCGAGACAGTCACCCTGACCCAAGTGCTCTAGCCGTGTGCCTGGTCGGATGGGGATAGCTCGAAGTAGCACATAGGTCATATGTTTTGTCTCGTGGCAAGGACACGATGTCTATATATATATATATTATATGTTTGAAAGGACTTTGGTATGGGTTGCTAGGGTAGGGGCTAACCAGGCGTGGTTGACATGGTTACCTGCAAGCTTGGATTTGTTTGCAACCTGAAATGATCTTGCAGGAATGGAAAGGAGACAAGGGAGGTAAGGCATGATATGGCTGTACAACCTGATAGTACCTGTCTATCTTTTTCTTCAGAGACCTGATGTTTTGTCTTGGCCTTTCAGGTCACTTCAAGCCTACACTAGGCTCATGAGCAAGAGCTATTTGAAGAGCCGCCTTTACGAACAACTCAAACTGCATGGACACGTTCCTGACCTGGATGAAGACACTGACCCAGACACTTGGACTTCTCCCTCCACCCTATGCTCTCGAATTCTGGGTGCCAATGTTTTGTCGGATCAACTGATTGCCAGGGCGGGCCTGGTACGTAGCTGCCTTTGTAGATGAATGCAAGGCATTGCTCAACTTTGCACTGGGTCCAGAGTCCTATGCATTTCTACAATCACAGTCCTTGTATTATGTTTTTTTTTGTTCTTTTACCGCAGGAGACGTGTGCACCGAATGCAGAAAGGTCCAGTAGCCTTACACCCAGCGAATCCAGCACCCAGCAGCGTGGGGAGTATGGCTAGACAATCACCGCTGTCGCCACACTACACAGGGCTTTTGCTGCTAGGGTTCCACCAAACTTTAACACACCGCAGCACAGCCCCCAGCTGCAATTGTGCGCGTTTCCTGTCTAGCATCTCTGTAGTGATAGTGACATTTGCCAACCCAGAAGTTTCTATGTAAACGCCAAGTCAAAAACTAGCCAACAACTGTGGCAATGAACACCCTCCTTATGGTCCTCAGAGCAACCAGCCATTCTGTGCTGAGGACATGCCTGCAGAGGTCCGAGTCATGGAAGATCTCAGCAAAGCAGGTGCTTTGAAGGTCTCTGAGCCAGTACCTCACGAGCCAAAGGCGAGGTGGCGAGGCGGCGAGGCGGCGAGGCGTTCTTCGTCTGGCGGTGAGTCGGCCGTCCGACGGCATAGAGCTGGGGAGAAATCGGAGAAATCCGGAAGGAGGTTCGTCGACCCAGGCGGAATGAGATTCTTTGAGCGAATTGGCGTTCCAGGTCGCTCGCCCTGCGTTGTTGGATGCCATCATGGAGGTGAGACAGAGTGGTGTTTGTGATCTCTGTATCAATGACCAGTAGTGCAGGAGTTATGTTATGTATATTATATATTGTATATATTCGTAAGTGTGTCAAGCCAAGCTGGAGCATGCTAAAATACAATACAACGTTTGCCCGCGGTTGCAACACGTATCTGCAGAACATGCTTCATGGTGGCCACTCAGGGAAACTCGACCTTGCAAACATTTGCTCTGACAGAATGAGAGGATGGATGACCGGTCAGTATCATTCATGTCATGCATGCAGTCACAATGCCTTGTGATTGTCATGGCTCTCCAGTAATACAGTATCTAACTTGGAGGACTTGACATGTTGTTTCTGTTCGAAACCAGTGGTACCACGCTGCACGTGGCGCACTTGGAGTTTGAAGACCCAGCATAACGGGCCCACATTTGATGCCTTTGGTTCTCCAAGCCATGGAATGCACCTGCGATGATGCCGGATGAGGACCAGCTTGTCACGTTTGAAGTTTGGCCTCCCCTTCTCAGCACCCAGGCAGTTCAGAAATGGAAGCTCGGTCCCCAAATAGATAGAAACAATGTCCAAGAGATTTTCAGAGGGAATTTAAGATATGTTGCTGTCGATTTGAGATACTATGAGACATTATGAGACTTCAGCACAAGGCTTTAGGACTTTCCAAATCGCTCAACATTTTCGTGTCAGGAGCTGCAGGAACCTGGCTGGGTTTTGGTACAACCCCATTGGGGCCTTTGCAATCGCCTGAGAGCTGTCACAGCAGGGTATTGCCGGCCAGTTTGGGTAGGTTGGAGGCCATCGCCACTAGGTTGGGGGCCATCGCAAGTAGGGTGGAGGCCATCGCTATTAGAAAGCTTTGACTCGTTTTTTGGCGAAAGTTGTGAGCAGTGGAACCTTTTGGAAGAGCCCTTGTGGAAGAGCCCTGGTTCAGAGGGCTCTCCAGAAGTGACAAGACCATCATCGACCATCATTCTGTTGGTTGCTGTCGAACAAATAGATCGTCAGGCGCATGCTGGCCAATCATTTGGGCCGTGAGTTTGTCCTGGACTGGCAGCCTTTGCCAGATTGCAATTGTCGCTGGAGAGGCCAAGTGGAGGTTGTGAGGGAGCAGAACCACTTGAGCAGCGATCAAGCAACCACTCGAGCAAAACCACTCGAACCACTTGTGAAATCTTGCTTAGGTTTTGAACATCGCTCACTTGTAGAAGCTTGCTTTCTGACTGGATCCTTGCAAATCAATTCTTGTTTGACGAGTTCCCAACATGCATCATCCCCTTCTTCACGGGATGCGTACCGCTTCATGTGACTGCTTTCCCGGCCGCCAGAGCTCTTTGCCACCGAGCTCATAGAAGTTGACGATCTGCACGAGGAGAGCCCAGGGGGGCTGTCAGTCGCTGCGGCATTTAGTGGTTTCAGCATGTTTCAGCTCCTCAACAGGGTCAGAGATGCATCAGTGGGAAAACCATGAAATTCCATGAACGTCCTCAGGAATCCTGGAACGTTAAGGTCGGAAACAAAGCAAGCGAAACAGTGAGATCTTGCTAGCATATGTCAGACATCGACGTCTTGAAGGCACTGTCCTTGGCAAAACCCGCCGAAGCGGCCTGCCTTCGACCTTCGGCCCAAGGCGTAGGCGTAGGTGGTCCGCCGTGCGAAGCCATGGCGCTGAAGAAGTTTGAGCACTTTCTGGCGGCGCACCGAAGACCGGAGTGGCGATACATCGCATATGATGTTCTGAGTCCTCGTCGCAATGGGGGACCGTGACTCAAGACCCTCCAAGATCCTAAACCCGTCAAAGACCCCGTTTTTTTTCCTTCTGGGTGTGGCCCACGTCTGCCTTGTTGAAGTATGTTAAGATATTTTAGAGGAATTCTGTTTGGAAGAATGCCATAATAGATGATATGGCGCCTTGGCGCTTTAGAACAGCACCGACAGGATGCTCCCATGGAACTCGTAGGATGCAGACGACATGGGCTAAAGCTAAAGGTTGTTTCAGTGTCGTTTGGGCCATGGGAATCTTTCTGGGGAAGCATTCTTCTTGCATTGGAGTTTTCTTCGAGATCTTGTTTGGTTCGGATCCAACTTGTTTTGTACAGTATATATTTGTTTCAAGTGAACCGTGGCAACCTCATGGCCTCTAAGTTCAGGCATTGGGCATTGGCAAGACCTCCAGCCGGTTTGCAGCCAAGGAAGCAACTGCTTCGCAGCCACCCGAGTGCTTTCTTGGACACCTTATGGCGTGAAATTGCCGAGGCCTGGCACGCAGACACCATCAGGCAATTTCAACCACCCAGTCATAGTCAGTCAATTTCAGGTGAGGCTGGATTTTTGTAGCGATGCCCTTTGTTCCTAGTAGCTTCTTGTTCCTAGTAGTAAGGCCAGGGGCCCCTAGTAGCGTCTTTGCTCCTAGTAGCGATGCCCGGGCGATGCCCTTTGTTCCTAGTAGCGTCCTCTTGCCTTTAGCTTTTGTGAGTTGGCCCAAAAAAGGTGGATGCCTTCTTTCAGCGACTGAACTACGGGATGGAGGCCGAGTCAAAGCACCTGGCGACCTTTGCATTGCTGAACCACTTGGCTGTGAAGAGGAATCTCGGTGAGCTGAGCTGGAGTCTAAAGTTGCTAAGTTGCTAAGGGAGGGTGCTGCTGATAAGTTCTTTTTGATATTTTGTGACGATCTTTTCTGCCTTTCAGTGGTCTCCACATCAGTGAATTCTGTCCTCTGTACAGCAGTTTCAAAATGGTGTTTGGATGTCCACTACTGTTCATAAGCTTCCCGCAGCCCGACTGAGTACTTTGCTCCAAAACCATTCAAGATCCTGGGTGTCTTGCGCTTTGTCCGCTAGTCCGCGCAATCCCCTAAAAGGTAGCTCACAGGTGCTCACGGTAAGGATACTCCAGAAGCATGCGAAGCATTCCAGCTGCAAGCGAGACTCACCAAATGCGGAAGAGCTCCTTTGATGGATTTGAGATGCGTTGAGAGATCGCATTTGTTGGCTTTTGCAGTGTGTGCAGTTATGCTCATGCTACCAGTCCACTAAGAGCTGCCATGAATCCAATTGTTACCACAGCTTGGTTTGTTGTGCAAACTGTCTTACAACTCTACGCGTGATACGCATTCGTGGCTGCCACGTGTCTCCGAGAGACTGTCAAGTTGGGAAACATGGTTGGTTCGACACACACGCTTGCTTGGTATAGAAAGGTGCGGTACAACTTGGTACTAACTTTAGTGTTTAAGACTATAGATAGGATGTTCTGGTATGCTTTGCATCATCCCCCAAAAAGAACACACTGAGCACGATTTGAGCAACATTCTACAGTAAAGGGCTGTGCACAAATTGAACTCATCCAATAATAAAGCAATATAGTGACCCCCCCCAAAGCGGTACCTTCACAAGGTACACTTCAATCATTTGTTTCAATCTACTTTGCAACCTTGTCAGATGAAAGCTCTGGACATCCGTCTCTTGGCTTTGTTTTGGCTTTACATGAAGCGATGCCAAAGCGATACCCCTGGATGATCAAAATGCGGTCTACTTGAGCGGGCCTTTCGTATCATTTTCGCAGTGCCAGATGAAGAGCTCTAGAAAAAGAACTGCAGTGACCAGTGAAGCGGGGAAGGAAGCGCTAATGTGTCAATGGAAAACTTCTCTCTCTCTCTCTCTTTCTTTTTCTCCCTCAGCCTCTACCCATATCCATGTGTACTTCACTTTGGTTATGTTTTCAAGAGAAATTCTCAAGAAATTCGCATGCATCACGGACTTCTGATGCAAGACATTCCGACATTCTCGAAACTCAAAGGCACTTTGGTTGCAAGATGTTGCAAGTCACCTACTGAAGCAGATTGAATCGGACATGTTCCACAGATACGTCAACTCCTCTCAGTTTGCATCACGGACTTGGACCGCACAGTTCCAACATTTGGTTTCTTCATTCAGCCAGGCCTCCCAAATTCACACAACTGACACAAGACATTCACAGGGTCCGCTCAAACGGACCTTGGTACCATGTTCAGCAGCGCAAGTACCCAACAGGGTGGAGTACAAAGAAGCATCGTGGATACCATGATGACATGATGTGGCGGCCCACAGTCCATAGACGGCCAAGGACTCTCACTCGTACAAAGAAACAACCCCCCCGCCAGCGACGGATTTTTCAGGTCAAAGACTTGAATCATCAAGCCGTTACTTTCACACACGTTGGGCATATCATGACGCCAAGGTAAGTTCTTTCCACGAGTTTTTGCATTCTCACGCTTACTGGTGATTTGTCGTCAAGTTCCATCATTCTCGCACGAGATCGATTCTGAAAGCTCGAGGTTTTGTGGCAAGCTCTGTGAATCTGTCCTTTTTATGTCCAAAGCTGCAACTCTAGAGAGTGATGACCAAGCCTCAGAGGCACGGAACGAGACGAGTGGACGGAAGACAGAGATTTGCCCTTGCTACTAGTAGCTTCTAGCTACTAGTAGTGATGCCCTTGTTACTAGTAGCTACAAGTTAAGATGTGTTGTTTGTATTCCGAATTCCGAAGATCCTTAGGCTAGAGAGGATCCTAGAGGCAGATTGAAGCAGACAGACAGCCATCCAGCCAGACAGACAGACAGAGGATAATTTTGCCGAGCTGTCAAATGTTCAGGTTGCAAAGATTCTTCGAGATGTGGCTTTGGATTGCAGAGTTTCAGACAAAGAGGAAGGACATGAGGCAAATGCCTTTGCAATTGGGGAGACTGATCTCCGGCATGTGAATGCGTCATATGTTCAGATTTCAGGAGTACCTGAGAGCGAGCCGCAGCATGTGAACATCATGACGTGGAATACTTGTGCCATTTCGTTCCCTTTGCACATCCCTTCGGCCAAGTTCCTCATGGGGCTTTTTTTTCCTTGGATGTTGGTGGCATGATTCGCGGCATGATGCCCCCATGCAGATCCACAGTGTGTTGGCCCAGCAGCGCTTTGCAAAACAAGCCGATTACATTCGACATTCTGGAGCTGATTTGATCTTACTGC